GTTTTTACACTGACACACCGCAAGCGCTATCTAATGGCATTGTCTTTAAATATTATAGTCTGCCAGCTGATTTAGTTCGATTTCTGATGCCTAGATGGGGTGCTACCAATATGTGCCCATTCATTTAATTTTACTACACAAATACTACGTTGTTACTTGGGTGCCTATAGTATATGTATATTAATTTAAAACTATTTCTATAGTAGACGCCACGAGAGCTGGCAGTAAATCATCGTTTTCCGCTCTTACAAATGCCATACGTAGTTCACAAATAGCTAGAGAGTAATGTGTGTTAGAAAGAGATAGCATTAGCTTAATATGTCTGCTGTACAATTCAAATGGCCACTTCGAAAAAGTACGTCTGTTCTTCTAAGGGAGTAACTCTATAATTATAACCTCAAATCGAAACGTCTTGTGAGCGTTGTCATGAATCTGTTAGTGTTTTCACAAGCCGAAAATGTTTTCTTGAAAGGAAAGTCATTAAATAATATCTTTGACAATGTTTGACATATAACCTCCATTACTAACATAACCTACATTTAAATGTATGTGGTGAAATAATCTAAGTCGTACGTCCATATCTTAATTCATACCATTTTTAAGTGATCTGTCACTGCCAGCTCTCGTGGTTTCTACTATAACAACTTTTCTCCCTTATTGGTTGAATACATTTTCAAGTGGGAGTTGTTGACAAAACGCAAATTAAATTTTAATTTTTGCTTTAATATTCCTGTTTGATCTGAGCGTTTTGAGTCGTTTCTTACTTTACGAAGTAGTTTTTATCGTGAGTATTCTTTTTATTGCGGAAATTAGCATGTCTATAACGACTTGCGCTAGTGTGTTATGTGGAAGAACCCGCCGCAATTCTCCTGGGTTGCGAATGTTTCGTTTTCCCGCGTCCGATAAGGAAAGATGTGAAAAATGGATCGAGAATTCCGGTAAGATTTTAATTTTTAAGGTGCAGATAAATCTTTAATTACGATATTAAGTAATTTTTAAGTGGGGAGTATATTTATATTTCATTACTGCTATATTAAAAAAAATCACACAAAGTATGATTTATTTGTTTAAATTAGGAAACTCTCTTCGGAAAAAAGTCTTCAACTCTTAACTATTTAAGTAATAAAATTAAACTGAAATGTTATCTATTGACTATTTAACATTCAAATGCATTTAAATATGTTATTCAAAATTTAATAAGATCAGATAAAATTACTATTTACTGAACTTTCTATTTTCACTTTAGGAAATTTGGATTTACTAAGTTTATCTCCAAAGTCCTTAGGTAAACGATCAATTTGTGAATATCATTTTCAAGCACAGGATATTTTTAATAAAAAATTATCAAATTATGCCATTCCTTTACCTTACACCGATGCTTGTCCAACGGAAATTGATGGAAACGAACCATTAACATACAGTGACCAACCATCAACATCCAAAACTAGATCTCCAAACTCAATGACATTACAAGAGGTTAGATTCCTTACACCTACCAAAAATATTGAAACAAGTGATAGTGGTCCTGATAAATTACCACTAATGGATATTTCCAATTTTCCTACACCGCCTTCACATAAAAGGAAAAGGGAAGAACTGAAGCGAGCAAAAAAGTTAAAGTCAAACTTTGCAATTCCTCGCGAATTGAAACAGTTACCAACATTCAGTAGATCGCTATGTTCGATGCAACTGTATCATAAAAAAATGAAACCATTCACTATTGATGAGAAAGCTACCGCTATATCATTATATTATAAATCACCCTCAGTGTATAAATTCATGAGGGAAAGAGGTGTGATTCTACCATCACCATCAATAATAAGAAAATGGTTATCTCAGTACAATATGAAAACGGGATATAACAAAGGTATATACAAACAGTTAAAAATTAAATTTGATACTATGAGTAGTAAAGATAAGGAATGTATACTTACCTTTGATGAGATGAGTATTAAAGAAAAATTAGAATATTGTAAGAAGACTGGAAGTATAGATGGCTTTGAGGATCTTGGGGAACTGGGAAGAAAGCCAATTGCGGCTAAACATGCTTTAGTATTATTAATTAGAGGTGTATATTGTAATTGGCAAGCCCCATTATCGTTTTATTTAACATCAAGTGGGGTGGGCGGTGAAGATTTAAAAAAAATTATTTGTCACACTTTAACGATGTTAAAAAAAATAAACGTTAAACCTATTGGTATTATTTGCGACCAAGCTACGACGAACCAAAAACTATACAAACTTTTAAAAGTAACAATAAATAAACCCTATTTTTTTGTGGACAAAAGAAAATATTTTGCTATATTTGATCCGCCTCACTTATTAAAGAGTTTGCGAAATAATTTGCTTAGCGGAGATTTTATATGGAAGGAAAAAAGAATTTCATTTAATGATATAAGAAAGCTATTTGATTTAGACCAACAAAGCGACACTGGGAAAACTTTAATAAAAATAAATGAACAGCATATAAACCCAAATACATTTCAAAAAATGAGCGTAAAATTAGCTGCACAATTATTTAGCCATAGTGTGTCCGCTGCAATGCAAACAGCTATCGACACTAAAGAATTAAGCACGAATACTTGTTCAACAACAGAGGAATTTATAGAAATAGTGGATAATGCCTTTGATGCATTGAACAGCAGAAATTTACAAGATAAAAAACCTTGTAAAAGGGCATTATCAGAGGCAATCGTGTTTTTAATTCCGCGATGTTTTTATTACCCAATTGTACTTCGTCTACGAACGAACCGAATCGTGTAACTTGTGATTTTATTACGGCGCGCTTTTTTACTAATTGTTCCATCGCATCGATTTGTACTCGTGAAAGGGATTAAAAGGATGGACTAAATATAAAGGACACGAACCTGTATTGCCGTTGTTTAATATTAGCGTCTGTTGCCCTCCCATTCAGCGTAATGACGTCACCAACCAAGAGCGACGCGTCGAAACTTGTTGGCTGATGTAACCTAACCACAATGTTGATATCACTTAATTTTTGATAATCTTCGCTCGAAGGACCAAATGTTGTGTTCTGTATGCTATTTATTTTGAAATGAACTGTATTTCTTTATTTTCTTGTTTTTAATTAAGTGACATTCGTAGATTTAGGTTTAATTGTCTAAAGGATCATCTGCTTTGTGTTGATGCTTTGTATATCTGGACAAGAAGTTAAATATTTTGCACGTTTTGATGGTTTTCTTTTTACTTCGTTTTTTGAATGATTAACGTTACACATGTGGTTTCGCTTTGATGGATTATCATTCCACGTATTAGATTTTGACAAATTTTTTCCATCCCAGTTTTCTTCCTCATATAAAAATTAATATTTGTTCTCAAAACTTGCGGTTGTCTCAATTTCCTCAATCCTTGACGTATTTAATGTAGGACAAGTCTTGTGTACAAACAGTGTTTGGGTGGATAAGTCTAGTCGATAAAAATCATCAAAACATTAAACGGTGCATACCAGACCATACCGGCTGGAGTTGAGAACGGTTACGACCCAAACGTCAATTTAGTCTAATGTACTTAAAAAGTATGGGAACCACCGAGACCGAGATCCGGGGCTTCCCCTAATATTAAAAGAAAAAGCTGTATTTTGGAAACTGTTGGGACATAAATGAAATCGAAAGCGGTACAAACGATTCTCTATCGAATTCCATCGGCCGTTTTGCGATATCTGTATTAATAACGGATATACAGACTTTCAGCGATATTCTGAAGAATAAAAAAATCGCTGTATTTTGGAATCGGTTGAGGTACAAACGAAAACAAAAGTGGTACAAACGGGTACAAACGGGTACAAACGATTCTCTATCGAATTCCATCGACCATTTTGCGATTTCTCTATTAATAACGGAGATACTCACTTTCAGCGGTATTCTTAAAAATAAAAAAATCGCTGTATTTTGGAACCAGTTGAGGTATAAACGAAATCGAAAGTGGTACAAACGGGTACAACCGATTCTCTACCGAATGGTATTAATAAAATTAGAATATCATAAAGAAAATAAAAATTATTGAAAAAATTATTGAACGCCATAAACACGTTCAATGAACGTGCAAAAAGTTTAGGCATATAAAACAGAAAATTTAAAAAAGTACAAACTAAATTAACAATAAATGTGCTTGTGGGAGAGTAATCCCCCCAACTTTCTTTAGTCTTCTAGTTAAATATTTCGGTATAGCTTCTTAACGGTGGACAACTTATTAAAAAGGCGCCGGTGCCCCCTTTTAGGCGGCGCCCGGCTGCTGTGCACCCCTTGCACCCCCAGGTAGCGCCGCCCCTGACAATGGGGTCATACACGACTTTTTTTTTATTATATTTTCTGAAAGTTTATATAAAAATATAGTTACCGTTATTTTTTTTTTTTTATATTTTCGAACAAAATCATTGTTAAAAAAATTGGTGAAAATGTATATACCCATTTGCGCTTTTAAAATTTCCGCGTTGATGACGTACGTATCAGCTTTGCGTCCCCTGCTCCCCGCTCAAATGCGAGAAAGAGATGAACGTCATTTAGGTTGTATTGAAAAGAGATAGAGTGTTTATAGGTTAAGTTTATTATGTTTTGTTCATGGATGTAATAGAGACACTCTATTACATCCATGGTTTTATTTTGACACTGTCACACCGCAAGCGCTATCTAACGGACAATTTAACTTGTTTTAGGCAGAGCGGTTCCTACGTTACAGAAAAGCCGCGAAATTATTTCGTTTGAATATTTGCTATTTTTCACTTCAAATTACGCAAAATATAAAATTGATCAAAATATTTCTTTTACTTTGTGTTCATGCATATACTTGCATATATCGTTTGACGTAAAAATTTTCTCTAAATTTAATAAGTGTGTATGACCCCATTACTCTATACCTTATTGTTTAATTACATTGTTTTAGAAGTTTTTGTCGTTATGACTGCAAAAGTTCTAAAAACAATGGGGTCATACACACTTATTAAATTTAGATTATTATTAAATTTAGATTAAAATAGGCGCTGCTAGGTTTTAGCATAAATCTTTATTTCTGACATATACACAGAATATTACATTCGGGTTTCATTAAAAACATTGAATAACACCTCTGTAACTCGAGTACATTGTTTACGTCATTACACTGAAAATACAACAACCAATATAGAGTTATTTACCGATCGAAAATTTTTTTCCGAATTGTAGTTGTTAGATTTTTGTTTTTGAACGTTTCACATTTAGTACACACGGTATTTTAATGAGTGCTTACACCATAATTATTACAAATAGAGTATACATAAACATCTGATTACTTGGTAAAGTTGTAAAAAATTTTGCCCGGATCTAACCCTTTGTCCTGAAACTCGATAACGACCTGACATTTTTGCTATTTTTTACTTGATGGATGACAGTTTAGAAAAATACATTTTGGCGTTTCAGGACGAAGATCGGTCTGCGTCGCGGGCCGATATGTCTCGAAATGGTCTAGCAAACCGCCCAAAAGTAGTGTTTGGAGGCGCCAAAAACATTGCCATAAAAATACTTCATCTAGTTTTTAGTTTCTTGTTCTTATTTACTTAATACAAATTGCACGAATACATCATTATTTAATAGATTATTCAAGATAATTTTTCAATACTTGTATTTTTTTTTTGTCATAAATTTTCATAGAACACTAATTCTACGATATCGCAGATATTTTGCAGATATGTCTTAGTTTCTGGTTAGTTTTAAGAACGCCAAACGAAATTCTAACTTTTTAGCTCTTTGATATGTTTTAAGTTTTTAATTTGTCTTTTTTTTTTCTTTTAATGTACCATTCAATTTACGAAGTTCCATCATTGTTGTACTAGAGCTAAATTTTAGGTACGTGTATAGCTCTTTTTATTTTTTAATTTCTTTTTAGCCTTTTTAAAATATTCGGTGTGCAATGTCTGAATCTTTTTTTCTAAGTATACAATTACTAAAGTTTTATACTCTCATCATTTTAATTCTACTTTTATTTATGTAGACTTTAATATTACTAATTTTTAATACAATATTTTAGCTGTTAAGCCATATACACTTATTAGCATGCAAATTTTTTAATTATCCAATAACAAGAATATTTTCTTTGCCACCCTATGCAGAAATAAGTTTTAATTCTGCTGTCCCATAGGATAGTTTAGAGGTATTCTTATTTTGGACTCCTTACAAATTATTGCGGCACATTCTTGATATGACTGTGGTATTTGTTTCATTTTGGTATAGTACATGATATGTTAATAGGCCATGTCCCAATCTTTGTACCGAAAACGTGCGAATTTAACAAAAATTAATAAACAAATTTTAATTTTTTTGTAGTTGACAACGTTCTTATTTTTGAGAAGAAACATCAAGAGATAGAAAGAGCAAGAAGAGAATAGAGCAACCTACACATATAATAGATATAATTACTTTAATAACAACTGGGACATTCAATTATTACACGTTACAAAGTGAATTTTCTTGATATCTATTTTTTAACTTGCTTGCACAAGTTTTTATTTTAATTAAGCAATAGTAGGGAAGGAATGAGCTGATATGTTTCTGGTATTTTTTAACACCTCAGTGTGCGTGTCATTTGATGATGCTACATCACATACGCGTCGATAGAGCTTATAGAGACGGCCTCAAAACTATCTAAACCTATTTAAGAACCTTATATTTTTCTTGGGTCAGCTGAAAAACAATAGTATTCCTTACAACAGTAAGCGAATTTCCCCTGTAAAGAGACATTTTTTAATCAATTTCAATGAATTTAGTGTCAGTTCTTTTCGGTTCGCACCAAATTATTTTTTGAAATAACAAGCTTCCTTTACGGATCTACTTAGTAATTATACAATATACTTAACAATTATTTTTTAGCTAAACGTTACAAAATATATGTTATGATACACAGATGCACGATGTGAACTACCGAGAAGTATATTCAATAATCGTGTTATAACTAAAATTGTTTTAACATAAAAATCTATTAAACCCTATTAAAACCCCGACAAATAATTTCGAGGCCACCCTCAACGCCGAAGAAGCTGAATTGCTTCTCATCGAATCCTCATAAGCTTTTATTACACAACTCATTTTTTTTAAGGGGAGATTTTGTAAGCTGTATTCTCGATGTTCGTGGCTCATCATACAAACGGTACGTTTCTTTTCGATCATCTCACCGTCTTTATCTTTTAATGTTTTTAACCAATTGTTAAACCATTGTAATTCACATTCACACACCAAGGGATTATCTACAAAAAAATGTTTGAAAATATAAAATTTGTTTGAAAATGTTCAACAACTTACCTGTAATATCAACAACTTTAAGCGTATCAACAATAGGTTCCATCACTTCCTCTGGGATGTGCATGAGTTTGTTATTTTGTAAATTGAGAGTTTCTAAAGAGTTCAAGTTCTCGAATGCGAGAGGTGGTAATATTTTAATGCTGTAAAAACAAAGGGAGATTTTATTTAATATTTATGTAATGAAATGCAGACTCTTATTTTTACATACATACAGGTTTCCGAAAAGTAACTGATAAAGATTTACATTTTTTTACGCCATTTTTAAACGAATTATGACGTCGATATTTTTTTCAAATAGCAATCCCCCCAATAAAAATATTGCGGAATATGAAAGAGGATTTTTTTTTGAATTTAGTACAGTCAATATTAATATTAGCTACATAAGAAAATTTTCGAGATAAATTACCTTCAAGATTCATTATTTCTCATTCAATTAAATTAGAAAAATAGTAGTAGCCATGCGTAACCATGGCAACCAATTGTTTCAGATATTGTATTAAAGACAATGATTCATTTTTGATATCTCAAATAGTTGGTTGCCATGGTTACGCATGGCTACTGCTATTTTTCTATATCAATTAAATGGAAAATAATGAAAATTTAAGGTAATTTTTCTCGAAAATTTTCTTGTTTTTCATAATTGGCTGTTACTCCGTGCCTGCTCATTTTTAATAAAACTTCTTGATTTTTATTTTTGAAAGTTCTATATTTCAGCATAAAATTGTGATTAGTTTTCTCAATCGTGTCCCCGAAGTAGCGCTATTGATACAGATCAGAGACCTGCATGAATGGTTTCATTCGCCCGAATGAAACAGTCACAAAAAAACGAATGGTGAATCAACACTAAGACATCAAGAGCGCGCTGCAATGTCGGTCAGTATGGTGTAGTGTCATTCTACAACATCAAGCAGTAGTCGTCTCTCTCATATGTAAGGAAAACAGCGAATCGTCAAAAGTATTCGCGAATCATTTCAAATGATTCATTGCCTCACCTACACAATAGTACACAATCATTGTTATTTTACTACCGGACATAAATAAATTAATGTTAAGTTGAATTTAAGACACAATTTAAATTTATGCAAAGTTATCTAAATTTGGCTAAACTTATACAAAATTGTCTAAAATATTCAAAACGTATTTAAAATTATCAAAATTTCACAAAATAGTTCAAAATGTTCGACGATCAAAATGTGGCTAATATTATCAAAACTTGGCCAAACATGTACAAAATTGTCTAAATTATTTATATCTAAAATTATCAAAATTTCACAAAATACCAGTGAAAATTAATCAAAATATTACTGAAATTACGTATACTTGTTCAAAATTATTTAAAAGCGCAAAATTTATCTAAAATTGTTTAAACTTGTCTTGTTGTTCAAAACTGAAAATTTTTATGAAGTTGCTTGAAATGATTAAATTGTATCTAAATTTGGATAAACATGCACAAAAATGTCTGAAATTATTGCGTCTAAAATTATCTAAATTCGGAAAATTTTACAAAATTGTCTACAATTATCTAAACTTGCTCAAAATTTAAAAGCGCAAAATATCTATAGTTATTTAAATTTGTCTAAGCACGTGCAATATTATCTGAAATTGTTTAAAATTATTCATAGTTAACCAAAAAAAGTGTTAAAAAAATCGTTTTCAAGAAATCGGAACTTAAAAGAAATGTATATCTAATAGATGACACTATTAGAAGGCTATGATATTAACAAATCTAGTTACTTTTGTTACAAATTTGTGTGGTTTATTTTATTAATTTAAATCAAAGAGTGTCAATCAGTACGCTGTGTAATGTCAATTGGTAGTGACCAGTAGTGACCTAAGTTCCTTAAATTCTCATCGAGAAATTGTCTTTAACGGAGAAGTTTTTTTCAAGAAACGAGTGTATTGTGAATCAATATGGATATGGCGAATGTTAAAATAGTTACAAAAATTAATACTGGTGATTATCATATAATACCAAACCAAATAGTGTGAGTAAAATTTGGAATTTATTTGGCCTTATTAAAAAACAAGATGACAGTATAATAGATGGAATTGTTTGACATTGATTACAATCAATGTCAAACAGTCTCTGACTTATTCCTAGTATAAGCTATTCGCGTTGAAATGCACGGCATAGCTATCCTGCGCCGTATACCGTTACTTATGCTATACGCCGGTATTGTAAGACGTTTATTCTAGTGTTTATACCAACATTTAGTTATTCTTGGTATACGGAGCGGTATAAACTGTTTTGTAAGATCGGCCCTAAATAGTTTATGTATTTGTTGACATAGACTGTTAATTCTGTATTTTATCATTTCATTTGTGATATCGCCTGGGCCTGGGTTTTTCTTGTTTTCCAGTTTACCAAGTTTATCTTTGTGATTTCTGGAATTACGATATTTAGGATTTGGTCTTGTTTCTTTGCAACATTTTCCATACTCGTTTCTGGGTACTGTATAAATCGTATTCCATTCCCTTTGTATAGCTTTCCTTGTGATTTTTTATCTTTCGATTTATTCTGTTTGTTACTTGTATATATTTGTTGTATTCTTTTTCGCTTGGTTTCCTTTTATATGTTTGGAATGCGATTTTTTCTCCATAGCGAGATCTTCAATTTCTTCTGTGAACAGGGTGTTTGTGTTGCCTCTTATCTGTTTACTTTTCTAGTTCTCAGTGCTTCTGTGGCAACCGCTCTCACATTGTTTTTAATCATTTTTTATATTTCGCCTGTGTTTTGGCTTTTAGTCTTGGGTTCGGTTTGGATCACTTCGTTTACTATCGGCGCAAAAAGTTAAGGCCCTTTAGAGATCGATATATTCGCAACTGCTAGATAAAAAAAATTGCTACAAACTTTGTCCACTTTGCGATTTTTAATAAGATGCCGTTATGTTAAAAACAGCTGGGTGGATTTCAATGCGGTTTTAACCAAAATATGACAAATAATAGCGTTTGTCAGATACCGTTATCAGTCTTTTTAAAGTTATGACTCTCTAAATTTTTTAGAGCGAATTATAAATTAAAAAGGAACAAAAATAAGCTATGCGGGGAGAGGAGGGTTTCGTCCAATCGGAAAAGATGATCCTGGTGTGTGTTCAAGAGACAGAACGTCGCGGCTTTATTGCTTTATGTAGGTAAGATAAAGGCGCGACGTACTGTCTGGAATGCTGCACCTTTTCGGATTGGACGGAACCCCCCTCTCCCCGCAGAGCTCATTTCTGTTTCTTCATAATTTAAAATTCGCTTAAATCGCCCTAAAAAAATTAGAGAGACATAACTTTGAAAAACTGATAACGGTATCCGATAAATACAATTATTTAACATATTTTGGTCTAATCCGCGATGAAATCCACCCAGCCGTTTTCGACATAACGGTGTCTTACTAAACAACGATTTTACGCGAAACTGTATGGAATATCGAAAAAATAAAATATGCCGCTGATTACGAACACATCAGGCTACCACAGGTTCAAAATTGAAATTTTTTCGTCAGGTAGTTTTTAAGAAAAAAATTCGCAAAGTGGATAAACTTGCCGGCACCGTACAAAATCGGGTACTTTTTTCATTTAACTCGCGATGAAAAAAACGCTGATTTGAAAATTTTCAAATTAACATATGTTACGTAGAAATGTTCAGTGATTATAACAAACTTTGTGGCAATTGGTTTTTTATCTAGTGGTTGCGAAGATATCGATCTCTAAAGTGAGGGCTTGATTTTTGGCATCGGTGGTCTAGATTGATATAAACTGCGGCTTGGGTTGGGTTTGGTTTCCAGTTCGGTTTTAATTAGTTCAACTGTCCTTCCCTTTTACTTTTTAATAATTTTCATTTCTAGGTTTATCTTGTGCTATTCAATATTTGAAGTTCAAGTTCGGATGTTCAGTAATTACTTATGTCATATTTTAATAAACTAATATAGAATCGATTGTCGATTTTCGTCCTCTACTATCCATCCGTGACATCTTGTGTTACGATTTGTGGTCAAAGAATGTATTTGTAATGCATAATTCATTCATAAGATCATAACACAGAACCCTACCATGTCTTTACCGCTATCATTACTTCTGCGTGTTGAAATCTTTATTTTATTCCAGGTATTACTGTTTTTCCAATGCGTGTTGAAGTTTTCCATTATCATTATTGTGCTATTTTTGGGTATAATATCTTAAAGCTTTCCCTGTCCACCTTTTCTCTCTGCCCGTTTGTGGGACATATACGGATTTACATTTATATGTAAATCCGTATATGTCGCTATTTCTCAGAGATGCCTTTATCATCATAATCCTTTCGTTTATATAATTAGAGTCTATGACATTGTTATGACTAGTTGTCTCCTTATTAGAATTCATATTCCTGCATTTGTCTCTCCTATTTGTCCATTTTAGAGGAGAATAAAGTATATTGTCCCAAGGCTACTGATCCTTCTCGTTTTTTATGTGTTTCACTTACTGAACAGCAAGAGTTCTTGATTTCTATTTCTCCATGTCTCTATACTCCAAGTGGTCACCAAGTTCCAAGTATTTCATCATCTTTGAATATTACCTCCTCAATTTCTTATTATTTTTGATACAGGCAATAAGTTTTTTTCTAGTTTTAAATTTCTTCTTTTAATTTGCAGTTTAATTTTCTATTTCACGTATAGCTTTTGCTTTAAAGTCTTGATCTTTCTTTACAGCTCGAACGTTCTCATTTATATTTTCCTTTCTCACAAATAAGCTTCTTTTATTAGTCATGTGCATTGAAGAACACGAATCTAGGATCTATTTATTCGCACTGGTTTTTTCGTTTGTTGTGAGAAAACTAACTTTTCCATCTTTCTCATCATTTTTATTTATTTGGAATTGGTAAAACTCATGTAACATGTTGTATTTTTATTCTTCTCTATCTCATATTCTAGAAATTCTTTGGATTTTCCGTTATCATATATAGAAATGTTATATTCAGTTTAGATTAATAGTAGGAGTACATGAGTTTATTTTTGTCGATGTTGTTTACTACATCTATGCGTTTATGCAAAAGTTCCATAATGTCGATATTACTATTATCGTTGTCATAAAATACAGGATGAGTAATAGTTGATAATAACTTTTATGTGAATATTATTCGAATGAAATAATAATGAATGTTCCCTCAACGCGAATTAGTAGTATAAGTACTACAATATCACGGTCATATGAATTGTAAAATAAATATGTGATCTTACAAAGTGTCTCTTTTGATTCCTTTCTGTTGTATGAAAAGGTATTTGATAATCGTGTTACAAAAATAACTCACCCAACAAACAATAAGCTATTAAAATGACATATCATTTACAATATATTATTCAACATTCCATTATTTTATTGCATTATTATTGTTTTGTTAATGGATGATTTAAAAGAGAAAATCGCACTGTTCTATTTACAGCTCATCTAAAATTTCGTGAATGTTTTGTTTTTATTCTCTATTTTGGTTTAAATGTTTAATTACTACCTCGAACATCGGACATAAAATTTTTGAATGAAGGGTAATTATTGGTATTTATACAAGGTTGTAGTTGAAGTATATTTGGTTTTTGTAAATATTAATACCATTATAAAAATTTGTTAATAATTCAATTTTGTTACCAAAATGAAATTGTATATATATATATCGGATGAAATATCGGAAAACAACATATAAATTTGCTTTGCCACCAGGGAGTTTGTATACGTTACCTACGTAAATATATTCTCGGGTACGTTGGAAAATTGGAAAATTTATATTCTACTCACTCGTTCTTCTGTAAATTGAGGAATGTGATGGAATCTCCGAACCCTGTGAACGCATCTTCAGCGATCGACGTGATATTGTTCGATCTCAGGTCCAAATGCCGTAAACGGTGCAACCTTCTAAGGGCTTCCGTTGGAATTGTGTGGATGTTATTGTCGCCCAACCTCAAGTATTGTAAATTTTCTAACAAACAAAAAAACATATTTTTCAAGGTTTCGCATTAAACAACTAAATTAAAAATATTCGATAACAACAGTGAGCTATTAAAATACTTTTTTAATCTTCGAGTCGTGTAATCACACGAGTACTGTAATTATGCTCTAGCCCACGTATGATATATAGCATTTTATCTACGACTGCTAAAAATTACTAAAAAGTCAATTTCTTTAAAAAAGTCTATTTGACATTTATAAAAATATTTTGAAATGATTGTTGACAATTTTGAATTGTCAGTTTCAACAACATGTTTACTCATCTGGAATAAGTGTTTCGAAATGTAAAAACATAACAATTAATGTTTATAATAAATAGTATTGTTTCTCTGTAAGTAGATAGCACTTTTTCTTTTGTATTGTTGCTCGTTTCAATAAATTAAGTCTGTTCTGATTAGGCTAAAAATGCGTTACGTAATGAAACCAGTGCGGTAATGAACTTCATTACGTAACTCAAATCACCTCAAATGAGTGCGGTAATGATGACTTATCCAAGCAGTCGTAGATAATAGTTATTTATTGTATAAGTGTTTTAGCATCTAAAACATGCATGCATACAACGTTTTATCCACAATCACACTCATTTAGAATCAGAATTGCCAAAATTTCATCTGATGTTGTCAAAAAATGATTTGACATTTCACTCTGACAGCGGATGTCACCTCAAAAATCATTGCAATTAACTAAAAAAACATTGGGATGTGTTGAATTGTTGCTATTTATTTTCGATTGTTAATCGACTCCATTTGTAACATATTTGTAAAAGTGTGAAAGTTGTAAAGGTTGTAAAGGTAAAGTTGGTGAAAAATGGAAGAAAGTGATTATGTTCCCAAGATAATTCTTGAGGAAGCTGAAGAAGCAACTGTCCAATTATTGCCTGCAAAGTCAAGGGAACATTACGAAATAGTATATTAAAAAACAAGTTTCGTAAGACACGTTTGAAATTTACGAATTCAAGTTGAAAAACGATTAATTTTATATAATAATTTTTATTCATTAACAACATCGTCACATTGACAACTAGAAAAATATATGACCCAATGTCACCAACTTGAACTGGTTCCATAAAATGTTACTAAAATCTAATTACAGCGTCGGATGCTGTAAGGAGTCTCATTACAGCACCCGTTTGAGTACTGTTATAGCTTTCATTACCGTCGCAAATTACAAAAAAGTATTTTCCGAGTTTAATGAATGGAAAGAAAAACGGGGGGTAATAACAATAAAAATCAAAGAATGAAATGTCTATTAATATAAATGTTAATGTTAATATAAATAATAAATAGGATGTGATTGATTTAAGATGGTATTTTTCATTATTCCACTAGTGGATAAAGTGGTACTTTATACGGTTCATAAGTGTGGATAAAACTTCAATTATAAGGTGATTGTGGATAAATAATTATGCAATACGTTAGTAAAAACTTAGAACAAACTATAAGAATATGTATATAAAATAGACATTTCACTCATAATTTAAGATATTATATAGGGTTGCCAACCTTAGTGTAATATAAAGTTATTTTCGATTATCTTCGGTGAACATATGTTTAACTAATAAAGTATTTTCGCGACACGTTAGCAAAAGAAAGAAGAGCTGTTAACGTCCGTCTTCGAGTGATTTACAATTAAATCGCAAGTTGTATTTCAATATACATACTGGGGTATTCATCTTGGCATATTGCTTTAATTCAGATTTGAAGAGCAGGAAAAGAGACAAGTTTTAACCAAACTCATGGTCGAACCGAGAACATAAGAAAATCTGGCCTAATTTATATACATCCGCAAAGACATGTAAGGGCTTACAGACGCAATTTGGAACATAATTCCGCAATCTTCCTTTGGTTTTGAGGATTTCAGTATTAACGATCTGGTCTTGAGGAGTGATTATGGCGAACATTTCATATCTATCTTGGAAATCGAGTTTTAACAGATTATCGCGGAGGAATTTGGTAGGGATTTTATTGCCACCTTTTCATAAAGAAAAAGTGTGGTACAATTGAAGAATAAAACCAATTATATAAATATTCTGCGATATAGTAACAGAATCAATAAACAAATAATAGCAAGCTGCTGTTAGTGTACCGGAGTTGATAACTTTTAACAAATAATAATACCTATAGTAGCCTTCAATATAAACTAAGCGATTGTCAACAAGAACGAAAATAGAAGTTATACAATGGCAGATTGTAAGGCAGATATTTACTGTGGAGAATGCAAAGTGGCTCTGTTACTAATAATATGACCAGTCTAATATATCGAGAGGTAACATACAGATTGAGGTAAGAAAAGAAACTGGGAAGACACTGATTAATTAGCTGAGCAACTTTAGGGCTAAAGAAAAAAGAAGCATCATTAGACGGATATGACCGGTAAAATTGTCTTCTATTAAACGCAAAAACAGACTTAAATTATAAATCTTATAAAAATAAGCACAACATTATGTCATATAATAAAAATAATTTATATTATATAAATTATATAATATATGGCGTTATGGCAATATAAGGGATATACATAAGGGACACCAAAGAGTACACGGAATGTACGAGGAATGTCCGATTATTGACCAGACATCCTTTCCAGTTACTGCTTTACTACATCTTGAAGCTCGTCGTCGTCTTCAAACCTTTTGCCAGACAAATGAACTTTAAACAGTCCAAACAAATGAAAATCAGAAGCAAGCAGGTCTGGACTATGGGGTGGATGGATAAGAACTTCCCAATTGTCTTTCTGAAGAAAGGCCTTCGCCGCCTGATGTGAGGTGTACGGTTTTGTATTGTCATGCAACAAACTGATTCCTTTAGTCAATCTTCTTCTTCGTTTCTGTCGAATAGCTTGAATAGTTTTTCCAGAGTTTGAAAATAAATATTGCTGTTGATTGTCGTTTTCAACTTGACAATGGTCATGTATGCAGTACATATGCGCATATAAAATGCGTGCAAGTTTCAACCGTGTGTTGCGAAAACGTACCTTTGTAACTGGACATAGTTGCTTCAATAATTAAATGTTACTGTATACAGAGTAAAAATGATCACGTTTTTATTTAATTTTTCTTTCATATTTGTTGGGTTATGATGAAATATACGGTCCGAATATTTTTTCCAATGCTTTCCGTTTCTCATCAATTGTTACATAATTTGATAGAGAGCGCGGATTCTTTTATATTTGCAACAAACGTGTTAAATACAGATCTTATTACTGCATTTCAAAGATTTTCTTTTTATTTTCGAATATTTTTCTTATTAAAGTTTATGTGGTTTAGAAGACAAAGAAATAGATTCGTAGTGAGATAAGCACAATGCCAACTCTAGCAATGGATGTTCTGCTTGGTATTATCTTCTTTGCATTTACATATAGAGAAAGTGGCTAGAACAACCATTTACAGATTTAAGCAATATGCTCAAAACTGTTCCGACATGTGCTACCAATGGGCTGCGAAAGACATTATAAGCACTGATATTGTGCTATCAATGCCGTCAGATTTGGAAGGGGTCGGGGCAGGAGTATACTGCCAGATACTTCGGATTAACCCCTTAACCTATGATTTATTTCGAGAATTACGTACTAATCGTACTACAGGCTATGCCCGTAGTTGTAGGTTAAGGGGTAAAGAGTTAGTAGTAATATAATAAAACTCTTTTTTAAAGATCAAATACAAAGACGTGTCGCCTTGTTAAAAGTTTGTATTAGAATGATTGAGAATGATTTTGGAATGTTTTTTACATCAAATATCAAAAAATGGTAACACAGCAATTTAGGTAATTTGATACAAGTTAAAAATTTCTATGTGAAGTTACGCTGTGTACGCTACAGTTACTCCACCTTTCACAAGAAAACCAAACGTAAAAAGCAACATTAAAAGTACGAAAATTAAAGATAAATTAGCAAGAAAAGTTAAAGTGAACTGTAAATTGTTCTTTGATAGAAAAGACGTCGTTACTATGGCAGTTATTTAATTTGTCATTAAGTAAAAATGCCGGTTTTAAACGATTTATATTTATAGGTAAGTATTTATTATTTTTTGAAATTATGAATGTCGTTCGAAGCCTTTTAAGAACTTTAAAGGTGTAAGGGGTAAGTGAAGGTTGCATGCCTTCAATTTTGACAAAAACGAAATCAGCTTTGAAAAGATCTTTATGAAGAAAAGGTTTGTCTCGTGAATGAAATGACGTTTCGGTTGGTTCTAGGTTCGAAAATGTTTCACGCAAATTCTGCAAAATGGTAGTCAGAGAGGTTGGCCAGGTAGTCGGAGAGGTTGGCCGTAAACAAGTTCGGCAGAGAAACAGCCAAGGTCTTCCTTAAGGGAAGATCTGAGGCCTAAAAGAACGACAGGAAGATCGGACCAGTTGCTCTTGCTACCTCTGGCAATTTTTCGGTTTTGAGAATTCGATGGAATCTCTCCAAAATGCCATTACTTTGCGGATGGAAAGAGGATGTGTGGATCTGGTGTGTACCTAAAATGTTGTTAAACTTCGAAAATAACGAAGATTCAAACTGTCTACCTTGGTCATGCGTGATGGTGTGAGGTATTCCGAACCTAGAGAAATTCCGAAAGAAAGTGTCGGCTATCATTGAAGCGATGATGTCTTTGAGCGGAAATGCTTCTGGCCAACGACTGAAGTGGTCAATTGCAGTGAGTAAGTACGTATAGGTGTAGCGTAGAAGTGGTAAGGGGGCAAAGTAAGTCGATATGAACGTGTTCAAATCTACCACTTGGTATAGGGATTTTTTGGATAGGTGATTTAGTATGTTTGCTCACTTTGGCTCGTTGGCATGGTAAACACGTCTTTGTCTACAATTGAATATCTTTTGACATGTGTGGTCAATAGAAACAGGATTTAAGGTTATAAACAGTTGCACGTATTCCAGAATGTGAAATATTGTGAAATTTGAAATGATTTTTCTAAATTTGTCTGGCACGTAAATTCTTGACAATGGTGTTCGCACCAAAGTTTAAAATCAAATTGC